AAGCTGATTATGCAAATCAAGCCGCAAAACAAGGGTGCTTAAAGAAATAACTGCAATAAACAGCGTATATAAGACGGTGATATATAGAATCAATTTGGCTTAACTGCAGCCACACATCCGAGTTGGAAAAGTTTTATGCCCTGCCAAGTGGGGTATTAATATTTTATGCTCCAGAGGAGTCATCTTAAATGGAAAAGTAATGTTTTAACTTTGTCTTACATTTTTAATCCCAGTGTCCCAGTACAATGTATTCCTATTTATCCAATGGACACAAAGTATAATCTCCACTTTAAATAATGAGAGAAAAGGAGTAAAATCTGGTATTAACTGTAGTTACTTGGCATCTCTCCAACCGTTTACATTTTTCTTGTCCCTTGATTTATGTATATTTAATAATTCAGGCTTTATCACACCAGCCAGCAGAAACTTTCTCCACAATTCTGGTTTTTTTTTTCACGACCTTATACTGTCTGGTGTATACCACCACTAACCATACAGCATATAGACAACCCATTTCATACAACGAAAATGGACGCGAAAATTTCTTGCTACAGGCCCCAGCAGGCCCCAGAGCGGATTTCTTACGCTCTCTTACGCTCATCGTTCGTTCATCTTACGCTCATTCTCGCATTAAATGTTTTCTGTTTCTCAGTCTCTAAACGGAGCGCGATGAAGAAGGTTGGCCTGCGCTTCGGTTGATCTTTGTATGTATGCGTGTCACACATTCACATACATGGGTGTATGTGTGCGTGCGATTTCGTTTCGAAGCCAGCGCACAAAATTTTGATTTTTCTTACTTTTAAGGCTTGCTACCCTAACAAAATTCGGGTATTCGTTATTTGATGAAATGACGAAAGAAATTATATTATTTTTTGTATTATATTTTTTTATTATTTCAGCATACATTTTTAATTTATTTAGGAATAAGATTAAGTGTTAGTAGTAAAATGTTTTCTGTATATATATTTTTACGAATCATTAAAAATCAATATACTGAGAAAGTGTCAGAGTATATTTCGGTCGGAGTCACTTAAAGCGCCGTTTGCTTTTAAGTTTTTGTTGTTCTGCAAGAGGCTTGTGCATGCCTACTCTAACGATGGAATGATTTTTAGGGGAGGGTGAAGACACGAAAACAGCTGATGGACTTGTTTACCTTTTTTGTTTACAATTTTTCAGGCACTTGTTATTATTTTGGGTTATTGTGAGATTTAATTAAATTATTGTCGTTAATTTAATAATTTCCTTATATATATTTCCTTATATATAATAACTTTAAAAAGTAATTTAATTCTTCACCCGTCTTCACCCTCCCCTAAAAATCATTCCATCGTTAGAGTAGGCATGCACAAGCCTCTTGCAGAACAACAAAAACTTAAAAGCAAACGGCGCTTTAAGTGACTCCGACCGAAATATACTCTGACACTTTCTCAGTATATTGATTTTTAATGATTCGTAAAAATATATATACAGAAAACATTTTACTACTAACACTTAATCTTATTCCTAAATAAATTAAAAATGTATGCTGAAATAATAAAAAAATATAATACAAAAAATAATATAATTTCTTTCGTCATTTCATCAAATAACGAATACCCGAATTTTGTTAGGGTAGCAAGCCTTAAAAGTAAGAAAAATCAAAATTTTGTGCGCTGGCTTCGAAACGAAATCGCACGCACACATACACCCATGTATGTGAATGTGTGACACGCATACATACAAAGATCAACCGAAGCGCAGGCCAACCTTCTTCATCGCGCTCCGTTTAGAGACTGAGAAACAGAAAACATTTATTGCGAGAATGAGCGTAAGATGAACGAACGATGAGCGTAAGAGAGCGTAAGAAATCCGCTCTGGGGCCTGTCGCAAGAAATTTTCGCGTCCATTTTCGTTGTATGAAATGGGTTGTCTATATGCTGTATGGTTAGTGATACCACACACCGCCCACTATCCGCCCAGGACTCACTTACTCATGTGACTGAACATAAAAATTCTGTATTCCACTTGGCTGCCATTTGTGGCAACTGGAGGAAAAAAAAAGTAGCAGACACGCTGAACAGAAAGGGAGGGGGTGCGAAAAGAAATATCACTTACAGACATAAAAATGCAAATTAGAAGAGAGATATGCTGCAGTCCAGCCGGGAGACGGAGGATGACATCTGCGGACCACAGAAATCGAAAGAAAAGCCAAGGAGAAACTTTAACACGAGGCCGGACCAGAGCCAAATCAAGAATGAATTATTGGCTCAGCCGACTGCAGGCTATGTTTCTGGCCCAAGCAGATTATTAGCCATAGCTGCGGGCCAAAGCGAGATGGAATAAACTTTTGGGAATTGCTTGGCCTGTTTTTTTGCGATTTCTGGCCAACATTATTAACACGTGCGCCCCATGATTTATGCCAGAAAGAGCCAAATATTTGAATAATTACTAAATTTCCCGAATCGATGAACAGTGAAAGTTAAAGAAGATTAATGATTAAATTCTCATCTTAAATTAAACTGAAATTTAATTTTCAATCTGTCACTTTTCACATCAAATTTGATTTTTTTCATCGCAAGAAAATGAATATTTTTTTTCAATAACAAACTGTTTTCATTTTTCTTCCGTCAATCAAAAAGTGTCGAAAACATTTCAATAAGCCGCATTCCTGGCACCTGTTGCTGCAAAGGTGAGACTGAGTGGCCATGTCAGCAGTTTAACGGTTCACTGAGCACACACGTAACACCAGAGGGGGTCGGCCACACTACCACAGACGGGGACAGAGACAGATGGAGGAAGATCAGGCCAAAAGGCCGTCTCAAGTGTCAAATGTGCTGAACTAGAAAAGTTCCAATAAAGACGAAAACGGAAAGGGAATGGCATCGAAATTGAATTTGCCTGAGGTGGCTTTTTTTACATCTTTCTTTTTCTTACATACATACAGGATATGTATGCTTCCTTGGATGGAAATGTTCAAAGGGCAAAGCTGTTAAATTTTAAGATTCTGCCTACTGGCAATTTGCATGCCTGTGGTTGAAGTGCTTATCATTATAATCAACACCAAAGCGACAAAAATCGTTAAAAAGAAAGGTGTGCTTAACAAGCCGAAGAGAAAAATACACTTCTAGAATTTAATATAAAATTTATAAGAATTAAAGAAACACTTACAAACAGCTTACATCAAACTTTAACTTTTTACTTTACCCGTTATTAAAATGAAGTAAACACTTCCCTTAACACACTGCCAAAACTTTATAACCAAACACTCAATTCCAACCACATCAGCATGCCGATACAACCAAAAAACTTGACATTACTGGCTCACGTGCTCGAGTAAGGGAGTTTCATTGTTATGAATATTGTTGATGGGACAAGCTCATTTTACGTTTATTAACTTGATAACCACAAGGACAGAAAACCGGTTTGTGAGGCAGTGATGAGGCCCAATCCGAGTGTATATCATTCCCTTTGATACCCAAAATATATTTAGTTTATTTTTAGACTTGTAGCGTAAAGTAGATAAGAGTAGAGCACTGGTAGTCGCAGCCGTGACCCCCATGATATCCCATGACTCCCCCCAGTCTCTCCATTTCGGCCCGCATGGATTGCATTAATTGGTTAACCATTTTTCTGCCTTTCACTTCATTTCCTGTATTTGCCTGCCACTTGTCGATTTTTTATATTTCCTCGTACTCTTTCCCTGATTAGACTAATCACTCATGCCCCTGATAAGCTTTATGGTGGGATAAGTAGAAACTTTCATCAATTATTGATGCCTGATAAGGTGGTGTATCTATTTTAATGATACTTAGACTGTGTAATATTTATATAGTTACTAAATTAAGGGATATGTGATATCTCCAAGCCTTAAAAAATGGTTTATCCTTTTTTTCCATTTGATCCTCTTTAGCCTAACCATTTACACTTAAAATTCAAATCCCCTGACTACTGCATTTCCGGCCCCCAAGACATGAAATATTTACCAACATATATGAACCCATATTCCGACGCCCCCCAACTGACATCCCATTCATCAGAAAGGAGATCCCGGCTGCCTCCGCTAACCCTTTGGTCCTTTGTCACGCCTGTTTCGTCCTCCTTCGAAATCGTATAAAACTTTCACGGCATTTTCTATTTGTTTTCATTTCCCCCTTTCATTTTTGTCTTTTATTTTTCATTTTGTTTTGTTTGCTGCGGCTTTTGGCCAAATTCCGACGCTTCAACGCCCCACCAATAGGGTTGTTGGGTAAAAAAAAGAACTTCCAGAGCGAGAAAACAATAAAATTGGAAAAGGCTTTTCTCGCCAAGAAAACTCATTTGCATAGAATTTTGCTTGACTAAACCAAAATACAATTTGCCCAACCAAAATCCTTGTATGATTTTCCTTTTAAAGCTAACTCTGGTTTCTCGCTTATTTATTCCTTTTTATTTTATGCGGCTTTTAAACATTTTTGATGGGCCACATAAAACTATTTATGAAATGCCGACGACCAACTTTTTATGCTCCACATATGCGATTTTTGCGCCTTTTTTTGGCTGCACTTCGGTCTGACCATCTCTTATGTTTTATGGCCAGGACTTTGTTTTTATGGGACTTCCGTTACCCCACGGCTGCCTCGCAAATGCACAACTTGAATAGCAGCCTCGTAAATGCTAAAAACAAAAAAGCAAGCATGTGATGGAATGGAATGAAGTGGAATGCTTTCAGCGGCATTCCAAATAAATCAATAGAGAAGCTGATAAATCACAGTTCCGCTCATTGATTAGCTAACGATGCGCCTATAATTTTATTACATGTGTGAGAAAAAATGTGTTGGACGGAAAATTGATTTAGCTTTGGCTTTAGGATTTCCAAGCAAAAAAATTAAAATTCCTCAAGAGCTTCATTCTCTTAAATTGTACCATTTAGAGGAAAATGATTTCAAATCATATTAAAAAGCTTTTCACTGTCTGCTAGGCACTGCTTGTTTGCTCCCTTAATTTTATATTCTTAATGAATCAAGTCAATTTTAGCAACTTACCAAAATCTGTCAGTACTTGGAGTCCCAAATTTGTTTTTTTACTTTTCTCCGCCCACTGAGTTCCTTTAATATTTAATGTGGCACGTTTCTTAAATTTTGTTGTTTTTTGTGTCTTTGTTGGTGGCGTCTCGTGGGTGGCGTTGCCACGAACATACACATTTATATTTTATATGGTCTGGTGTTATTATTTTTTCTTTATTTACGACATTTAATTTTATATTTATGTACTTTGATTTTCATTACGCGATGCGGATTTGCAGCCCGCTTAACCTGCTCAAAAGGAAAAAGGACACAAAGTGGAGGCATGAGCCAGGAATTCATATTAAGGGCCTCGCGTTTCCCATATAATTTGGTTTTATTTGATTTGATTTCATTTTTGTGCCTCGTGTTTTTATTTCCGTTTGGTTTTAGCGGGATTTGAACGTCTGGCGGGGCGGCGGGAAGGACCACAATTTTGGGGACAGGATGCCACGGCGTGACGACCAAATTGGCGGCGGGATAAATGAATCTCAGCTCGTCATCCAAAGTGATTCAGTTTTCGCTGCCAGAATTCAAAAATTCTCAGAGCTCTTCAATTAAATTGCCTGAAAAATTGATGTGCTCAGCATATTTTAAGGGCACTCTTGGCTCGCCCTAAGTTCGTCCGGCAGGAGAGTCCCTGCTCGAGGCTTAATGCATACAAAATTTGAACAAAATATTAGCAAGACCTTCCGTAATGAAGAGCTAAATACCCTTTAAGGTGTTAAAAAAAGTTAAATATAAATACATTCCTAATAAAATGTTTAACCACTTTGTAAAAAAAGTTCTAACACTAAAGTCCTTAAAAATTTCAAATTACCCTTTCTGAAAAAAAAAGAATTTCTCTACGCGAAGCCTTTCGAGTTGTTTTCATTAAAATGTTGGTTATTTCCTTGAAAGCTGCTGCTCCTTTCACGCTACTGTTTCCACAGCTTCTGCCTAGCGATGCTCGCTTGAATTAATTACGCAATTTAAATGGTTTTGCTGGCAAATCGCATTATAAAGTGGTTTTTGATGTTGCCCTTTGGAGGCTTTTACTGGAGCAGGTGCAGCAGAGACAAACTTTTGTGAACGTTTAAGTTGGTCCACAGGGCGTATACTTAATGCCTCAGCCATGCGTTCGAGCAGCACATTTGTTATAATTATGTAAAATATTCAAGGCATTTAAATTGGCAATTTATTAAAGCCTTATTTTTGGGTAACACAATTATAATTGCTTTAATAAATTTTCTTGATTATTTTGTATTATATAAAATTTGCTTTAAATATTTTGCTTTAAATAAATTCTTTCGTTATTGTTTAGTTATAATTAGTTTTTAAGAAATTAAATGTTTATTTTTATTTTTTTATTTTACTTTTATTAACACAGAATAGTATATCATATATTTATCTTATAGTTTTCGTTAGAAAAACTTATAGTGTTTAAAATTCAAAAAAATTTAAATCGATAGTATATTTTTTTTTCTAATTTTTTTGTTTATTTAATATTCTAGATTTTGTATCTTTGAGTTTAGTTACTATTTTACTTATTTTACTTAAAAACTCTTTTTTATATTTTTATTTTCTTTTAAAAAAAGCTTCAATTTTTTTTTAAAACCGATCACCAATTTGAATTTCAGAAGACACCCGCGAGGACAACCGACTGTCGCAAACTACGAATAGTGAATGACAAGTCTGGCACTTGTCGGGACTATTGCCAGGACGTAGTAGTTGCGACTAGTTGCCACTCGCTGGTGAGTTATTAAAAAACCAACAACTGTCACCGAGGACCGGCGACAACGGAACGCACTTTTGAAATTCGCCGAGGACGCGTCGCCCGAAGGATGTGAGTTCGGAGGTCGGAGCCAAACGAAACCGCACGCAACGTGCAACAGCCGCCAACTGATGGGCTTCATCTGCCACTGCCAAGTGCGCACCCACACAACTGCCATTCACACTCACACACATCCACCCGCATTCACACAGACACTGCCTGTTTGTTGATAACAGTTTTCGAAATTCGAATTCGCGTCGTCAGCTGCTGAGGGCTTCTGTTTTTGCTGCCTTTCCTGCTACTGTGAGGTCTTTTTGTATACAAACACGACCAGAGCATCCTCCGGGCGCACCACCCATAACAGCCGCCCGCAAACAAGCTGGCACCACCCACCGCGTAACCACGTTCACCATGTTGCATGTTCAGCGCACTCCCAACGCATGCGCCGCCCAGTAGGCAACACTTTTTGTTAAAGGTATTTTTTCGAAAACATGAGGGAGTGCTGGTTTCCATTTGAGGAATACGAGATATTTGATTAAAAGTAAATAAAAAATTGTATCATTTTTATAAATTAAAGGAAATATTATTTATTTTAGTTTTATAATATTCACAGAGCTTTTTTCGTTTTCCTCGGCTTTTTATTCCCCTTAAATATTAGTTTGTTACATTTTAAACAAAAAAGTTGAAATACAGATTTTAAGTTAGATCTTATTTCCGGCAGAAGCAACATGGCGTATGTGTAATATGAGTAAAGTCAGCTCCTTCGAAAAGTTCATTTTAGACTTAATAAGGTACCTTTTTTTACATAGTATCCTTTAGTCGGTTGAGTACTTTATTCTCTGTTTTCAACAGTCGTTGCTTATGCCGCATTAACGCAATCAACGCAACCTCGTCGCTCTGTGGAAGCTTCTTTCGTTGTTATCTTTATTGTCCTGCAATATTTCGACAGCGGTGCTTAGGAATGGGGAAAAGCCAGAGGGAATGGCAAGGGTGGGTTAGTATGGGGTGCCATGACATAAATTAGTCACATTTGACTTGGACGTCCCTTAACCTTAAGTCGGTTAAGTTAAATTTCCTCCCAATGCCGCCGCCTTTGGCTTAGGCTTCTTGTGTGTCAATGTCTTCTGAGCAGGCTGACTGAAGTTCACGTGCCCGGCCATGGTCACTAATGAATTATAGCCAAGTTTTTAATTAAGCTCTTTATGGCGTGGCAAAAGCCCTTGTCCTCGATTACTTTATTTTCGTATTTTTGGATTCATATTGTTTTTTTGGTAATAGTTTCAGATAGGTCTAAATTATGGTATAGTTTGTAACAGTTTATTGAGTTCTTTTAAATGTTGCTGACGAAGAAATATTTATTTTATTTTTATAAATCCTCTCTTCTAAAAACTCTATTAAAATAGCTCGATTAAATCCGAAAAAACCCAATTGCAATTGTTGTCCTTGACCCTACAAATTGCGACAAAACATTTAGGGAATATTTGCAACTGAGTGTTATCCTTTTTATGGTCGAGGATAACCACCAAAACAGTTAAAAACAACTGGCGGCTTCCTGCGACAATCGTCCCTGCAGGAAATTACAAAAATAACTAAAATCGCACTTAAAATGGGGTGAGAGAGAAAAGGATATAAATGAGCAAATGTGGACTAACATGATTTACAGTTAGAAACCTCATTCTAGGATGCGTCAGAAACAGAAATGTTGTTGTTGTTTCATTGTGTCTGTTATCAATGGATGTGAATCAAGGACACAAAGCGAGCACTGCTTCAAAGACATTCTGAGCAGACAACCGGTAAACATGGCTGGGACGAAAATATGGGAGGGAGGGCATTAATAATAATGTAAATGCCTTTGACCTTGTGAACTGCCCGGAATGTCAATTGATGCAGCGCTTCGCCTTTAATGAGAACTTTCATCTGTTCACTAAATCTCGAAAGTGTCATATTGTATTTGGAAACGAATTTCTACAATTTCTACATTTCTACATTTCTACAAGAACTACTAAAAATGAATGAAAGTCATGATATTGGAATATTTGTGGTCACTAAGTCACCCAGTTGACCCAGTTCTCTAGCTGCTCCCCTTTACCCATTATTCCTATTGGTAAATGATGGCCTGTTCTTCACACTTTTCAATTAATAAACATAAAAACGAAAACGCCAACTGCAATAGAGTGAGTGATGGAAGAAAATAGGAGAAATTGCGTGCACATCTTCCAGTTTTAATTGAGGCTAAGTGAGCGGACATTAAATTGTTTATAGAGCAAGGTTACGAGAAACTTTATCGGAGAAAGTGCTCAAATTTGTGTGAAATATGAACTTTTATGCGAAAACTAAATAGAATTGAAGGTGAACTATGACGGTGGTCAGTTGTTATAAAAAAAAATACAAAAAAAAAAAAAGAAATAGATCAAGGTGAAAATAGGTTTTCGATATAGTTATGAATGAAGTTTCATGCGAACATAAAATAGGATGTTATTTGAATTACTCCAAATCTAACGTTAATGATTTCTTAAATAATTTACACATATAAATTCATTTATTTTTAGATAAAGATATAACCCAATATTTAAAAATATAAATAAATCATTTTGATATTTCTCTTTCTAATTGACAAAATACAGATTGAAGCTACGCGCGGTTTAGTTTTTTATTGGATCTGGCAGTGCCACATGGTATTTTATTTGATACTGAATTTATCGAAATGTGGTATTTTTTCTATCCCTTCATAAAATGGTCATACGCCCTGTTGGTACGGTGTTGTTAGAGCCTTTAGCGCCGAAATTAAATTATAAACCCGTTTTTATTTAGGCCTAACTCGATGGCCTTTGTTTTTTTGTAAAAATGATCAATTAATTTTCGTTCCATAGTTAACAATTGCTACAAATTTAGCCATTGAACAAAAAACTCCCAAAAGTATGCTTTAAAAAGGCGGCCTTCTTATATCTTAGAAGAAACACCGGTCTGGACAGCTGCCACCTGAGAAAACGGTCATACGTTTTGCCTGCTAGCCCTCTTCTCTCTCATCACTCTCTTCGGCTTTCTTTTCTCCTCTCTGCGCAAACTCCCACCCAGCAGCAGCGGCAGATATAAGAACAACAACAACCATCCGCCCGGGTGCCCACCAATTTTCCTTTTTGTTTTCGAATTCTTCTTCAGTTGCCTGTTTTGTTTCGTGTGGCCAACATCAGCGACTGGTGTAGCTATAAGGTGAATTTCCGATTTCCCGTCCGATCTGTGCGCGTGCCAATTTTGAAATACCCACACCAGCACCCACGCGAATATAAACAAAATGTGTTATCAGCATTATTATTTTTCATTGCATTCGGATTTTGCAATTGGCGCCAAGATGACGCTTATAATTATATAGAAACATATTTCAGGCTAGCACTACCTGCTGGCTGGAAAGTGATAAATACGAAACATAAACAAATGATGGTGATAAGGGGCCGCTGCTATCAATGCGCCGGCCGCTAACGTGCAAAAAAAAAAAAAATAGGAATTATAAAATACGAATTCCTGGCTCTCTCTTCCTCTTGCTCGCTCGCTCACCTAGGGGCAATGCGACGATTGCAGCAAAAACAAATTATCAAGCTAAACTTGTTGAGCGGGTTGCAAAAATAAAAAATAAAAACACAAAATCCAAGAAACTATACCAACAATGGTGAAAAATTTTAATGCTCAGAACGACGTCGCGGCACCAGCACTGCCACTGACCTTTATTTGACTTTCCGCCGCTCTCTGGCAATGAAAAAAAAAATATCTCTGCCTGCCCCACACACACACACCGGCAGTGGCGTACACAGGATTTTTTGTAAAAGGGAGAATTTCGGGAATATGAAGGATAGAAACTATATTTCAGAAAATGTTTAAAAATATTTAAATTAACTTATCACGTGAAAACTAACTGAGTTCAAAACAAGCTTCTATAATTAAATGTTAATAATATTCAATTATAACTACGCCGCTGCCTACCCGGCCGATATTTAAGGTCTCTCAGCTGAAGTTGTTTTTGTTGTGGGTAGAGTTTTGTTGCAGCATGTGCGTGTGCGAGCGAGAGATACCCAGAGGGGCCTTAATTTTTACCTCCCTCATGGTTCCTCAGAATCAATTGAGTTAAATATTATAAGTGTAAGAAATTGTCAGTTCAACTGTCTAGAAAATAAAAGATCTGAATGCCCAAATGTCAAGTGATGAAAATTGTTGTATCTCTTTTATTTTTTTTTTCACCTACCTGACGGTTAATTGCATCTCACCAAAGTGCCATAGTGATGTTTTCAAACAAAACTGGCTAGAAAGAGAGACAAAAATGCATTCTAACAGTGTAGGACGACCTCTGAAAGTTGCCAGTTCTATAATCCACATAAAAAAGGCGTTAAGATAATATTTATTATATCAATTACGATTAGATTGTTTAGGGGGTTGGGCTGGTAAATAACCTTCAGGAAAGTGCAAATCTTACCAGAGTTATAGGTTGCAGTTTGAGGGGTCTTTCTCAGTCTTTGATTTGAGAAAATTATATGTACATCTCTGATTATACTCTTCTCACCCATTTAATGACGTTGTCAGTACGCTTGTTTGTATACTTGCCAGGGAAATTGGCAAAATCATCTTTGTCCGATGATGCTAAACCATTTCCGAGGTCCCAAAATAGACCCTGAAATTTGGTTTATGGACAGCCATCTATACTATGGGTTCTATAGGAAGAGAATATGAAAGGTATATACTATAAGACAGCCGTGTACATAAATGCATGTCCAACGAATGAAAGTCAGGGACAGAGGCGATGTCGCATAGCACCTTATCAGGGCCATAAACTGCACCGATGCAACTGCATTCGATCGCCGTTGATAGTGAATCGATCGCACCTCGGTGCGTGGTGATGCAACTAATGCCGGCGTGTGATGACAATGACCAGCCCAACACCAATAACATCAAGAGCATTCAAAGCACTGAGAAAAATACATGATTTGAAAATATAAGAAAAATAATAAATTAGTTCCTGTAAAATCTTCTATAAAAGTTCAGATTCTTTTTAATATTTCATTTTTATTATCTTATATTGGAGTACTATTTTCCTCAGTGCATAACTGTAAGGCGATAAGAAGCCGTGGCTTGTAATATGGGTCAAGCCGGTAGCTAAATTTAGTTGACACTATCAGTCCGAAACGAAAGCCTCGCCGGAGAGGTTCAGCTATAGATCAGCGGCGCCTAGATCATAGCTTGTTATAGAGCTAAACATATCAAGATGATGCGCAGACAACAGTCCTATCGCTTTGAGGATCAGGAGTCCACCTCCTATGCCCTTCGGGTGGGAAATTCAACCAAAAACTACCAGAAACTCAACACAAAACTCTGAAAAACCAACTAACAACTAATTTTTTTCTTATTTTGCAGATGAATCGTCGCTTTTCAAGAGTAGAGTCCGGGGCGGACCTGAAGGATTACTTCGATCGGGGGGACATCGCCTCCCGGGAGAACCGATGGAACTTCGAGGTGGCCTGGGAGGTGGCCAACAAGGTGGGTGGCATTTACACGGTGATCCGATCCAAGGCCTATGTGTCCACCGAGGAGATGGGTGAGCAGCTCTGCATGATGGGGCCCTACAAGGAGCACTGCGCCCGAACAGAAATGGAGGAGATGGAGTTCCCCAGGGGCAATCCCCTGCTGGATGCTGTCAATACTATGCGATCGCGCGGTTATAAAATCCACACTGGCCGCTGGCTGGTCGACGGAAATCCACAGCTGATCCTCTTTGATATTGGATCCGCCGCCTGGAAGCTGGATCAGTTTAAGAACGAGATGTGGGAGAAGTGCAACATTGGAATCCCCCACCTGGATATTGAGACCAATGATGCCATCATTCTGGGCTTCATGATTGCCGAGTTTCTGGAGGAGTTCCGCAACTTTGCCGTCTCCTACTCGCAGAACAATGGCCTAAGTGCTCCCCGAATTGTGGCACACTTCCACGAGTGGCAGGCCGGCGTGGGCTTGATTGTGCTGCGCACTCGCCAGGTTGAGATAGCCACCGTGTTCACCACTCATGCCACACTGCTGGGTCGTTATTTGTGTGCCGGAAACACTGATTTCTACAACAATCTGGACAAGTTCGCCGTGGACGAGGAGGCTGGCAAGCGCCAGATCTACCATCGCTACTGCTTGGAGCGGGGGGCCACCCACTTGTCTCACGTGTTCACCACCGTCTCGGAGATTACGGGCTACGAGGCGGAGCATCTGCTCAAGCGCAAGCCGGATATCATCACACCGAACGGCCTGAACGTCAAGAAGTTCTCGGCCATCCACGAGTTCCAGAATCTGCACGCCGTGGCCAAAGAGAAGATCAACGAGTTCGTGCGAGGACACTTCTACGGGTAAGTCTATCACATGTACTATAATGTACTATTGTATACATATTCCCAATCGTATGCGGAAGTTTGTTAAACATTTTAATGTAGAGATTCACCCTTGAATTAAGGTTAAACAACAAAACAGAATCTGACTTTCAATAATCTTAACGAAAGATTATATGATTATGAAGCAATGTCAACATGATGTTTGGAAACATCGAAATGATTTTAACCTGTTCTTAATTAAGCCAGAGACTTAACCAAATTCTGTTCACCGCAGGCACATGGACTTCGACCTGGACAAGACACTGTACTTCTTCATCGCCGGTCGGTATGAGTTCGGCAACAAGGGCGCCGACATCTTCATCGAGTCCCTGGCCCGTTTGAACGCCATGCTGAAGCACGAGAAACCCGACACCACTGTGGTGGCCTTCCTGATCTTCCCCACCAAGACCAACAACTTCAACGTGGACTCGCTGAAGGGTCATGCGGTCATCAAGCAGCTCCGCGACACCATCAACAACGTGCAGCAGGCGGTGGGCAAGCGCATGTTTGACACGTGCCTCAAGGGCCACATCCCCAACGCTGACGACCTGTTGCAGAAGGACGATCTGGTCAAGATCAAGCGTTGTATGTTCGCCATGCAGCGCGACTCCATGCCGCCAGTAACCACTCACAATGTGGCCGATGACTGGAATGACCCGGTGCTGTCCTCCATACGCCGCTGCCACTTGTTCAACTCAGTTCACGACCGTGTGAAGATGGTCTTCCACCCGGAGTTCCTCACATCCACAAACCCGTTGTTCGGCATCGACTACGAGGAGTTTGTCCGTGGCTGTCATCTGGGAGTCTTCCCCTCATACTACGAACCCTGGGGCTACACTCCCGCAGAGTGCACGGTGATGGGTATTCCCAGTGTGACCACCAATCTGTCCGGATTCGGCTGCTTCATGCAGGAGCACATCAGCGACCCCAAGTCCTATGGCATCTACATCGTCGATCGGCGCTACATCGGCCTGGAGAACAGTGTCCAGCAGCTGTCCAGCTTCATGATGGAGTTCTCGCGCCTGAATCGCCGCCAGCGCATCATCCAGCGCAACCGCACGGAGCGACTGAGCGACCTGCTCGACTGGCGCACCCTGGGCATTGTAAGTACTATGAAGCACTCAGTTATTGGTCAAATATTTAAAATAACGATGATATTTGCCCTTTCAGTACTACAGGCAGGCCAGGGTTAAGGCCTTGCAGGCCGTTTATCCGGACTACGTGGATGAGCTGACTCTTTACGGATCGCGTAACAATCTGATCTTCTCGCGGCCGCACAGTGAACCCCCCAGCCCCACCTCATCGCGTAAGTGGAACGGAGAACACAGTGATTCCGAAGATTAGAATGCCTTGAATGTTTGAATTAAAGATGAACTCAAGTACAAGAATCTCTTCCATTCCTCAAAACTAACTTTGTACCGATAATATAATAAAACAAGTTCCTCTTTTGTAATATATATGCTTTTAAATGAATGTCTAAAAGTAAGCAATACTTAATTTTCCAATTAATTATAATGTAAGTCTAACACGATTAGATGCAAATTTTGATAAGAATCTGAATGCAACTGATGGAATACTTTTAGTCAAGACAAATATTCAAGGCATTGATAAGACATTACTAAATATGTACTATGTAACTAATACTAACTATTTTCATCCACCAGGTCACACTACGCCAGCGCCTTCGGTGCACGGATCTGATGATGAGGATTCTGTGGACGAGGAAACCGAACTCAAGGAATTAGGCATTAAATAAACCTCTTAGCCACACGGAGGGCCTTTAAACTTGTAGCGAACAAAACCAACTAAACCTTAATAACGCGCAATATTACCACAATAAGTTCAAGTAGTGTTGTTCCACCGTTTGTTCAACGAGAGGGTACCAGAGCGGAGAGGCCTACAAAACTATCTACCTGCAATTGAAATGCCAGATCAAATTTTGTTCACATCCAATCAAATTATTATATATGTATGCCCCCATTACAAGAATGAGGAGGACGAGAGATTTTATTAAACGTTGTTTAGTCTATAAGGAGAACAGGGTAGCCCCGCCCTGTTGCCCTGCTCCACACCCTGCCTGTCAAATAAATCGTTATTTAAAGTACACTTACACCAGTTGGTCAAGAGTTAAATGCACCTTGGAGATGATAAGCTATCAGCCAAGAAGGAATTGTTATTTTTCTTTTCAGGTTTCTGTAATTATGGCACTAAGGAAATGTTTATTTTTGACACCCTTGGCATACTGTTCGATATAAAACTATATTTTGGCTTTTAAGGCGCTCTTAAATTTTTATAGCCATTTTAATGAACGGCATTGTCATTACTTTTATCGTGCTACCCTATTTTATAATGATTAGTCGAAGATAACTGCCTGAGAAGCTCAATTTGCACAGTTTTTATAGAGACATTTTTAAGATCTAATGGATATTATCTCTAGAAACTATAACCCCCTTTTGATATCTCAGAAGAATGCATCTTTCCTCTGAAGAGAAGAGTGCATTCTCAGAATAAAAATTGCTTTTAATAAAATAGTTTTTAAAAAGGTTTTATTTTGAAAATAATAGCAGAGACAGTAGTTGCAGCTTTTTTTTTGTTAAATAACCTAAAGTTAAAGAAGATAATAGTTTAAACTTAATCAGATCAGGACACAAAAACCAAAAGTTGAACTGAAAATATTTAAATCCAAGGAAGTCCACGTTGTTTCTGGAAGAGATTACGCGTTCTTCCGATTACGTTTGCTGTAGGCGGATCTTACAAAAACCCGGTTATTGTGCCGCCTTCTCCTGCGCTGGGTCTCCACTCCGTACTCTGGATCATCTACATCGTCAATGAATCCTGGTGGTTGCTCTTGGTGAGATGGTGCTCCTTGTTTGCCATTTTCCTTCAGGCATTTCTCTACGTCATCATCTTCGCATAGTATGTAGTCTCCCGATCCTTCCACATTCTTGTCACCAATCTCGTTTCCAATAGTATTTCCTGTATTGCTTAAGTCATTATTCGGGTTATTGTTCGGGGGGAAGCCTCCATAAGAAGGGAAAGGCATAAACGGGTTGAATCCATACGGGTTGTACATATAGGGTGACCCGAAACCCTGGAAACAGCCTCCACACTGAGGTGGTAAGCCACTTTGCAGGATGTACCCGTACGGGAGGTTGAGACACTCCTGACAAACGGATCGTTTGGGTCTTTGGTTGGGCATCATTCCCGTTCCTTCACCTTGGTTTTGGCCGCAGGAGAAATAGGGCCAGGAGTTGCCAAAGTAGCGACAGGGTTCTGAGGGGAGGGATGTCTTTGCGTGCACTCTCCTCCGCCGGGGGACGTACTCAATGGTTTCGCGGCAGTTCAGAGGATCCTCGGCATCGCATTGGACCACTCTTTTGGCCAACATGACGCGGGCCTGACACCTTTCGCCGCAAACCCTTTGCCGGCTCTTTTCCCTGCAGTCATCCCCAGCATTCTTGTCGCATTTTCGGTCCATCAGCACCACATAGCAGCAGGATCCCAGGTCGCTGTAGCCCAGACCGAATCGTCCGCCCACCTGGGAAACATTCTGCTGCACCTGGACGTTTACTTCGTTTCGCTGCTGGATTTCGTGCTTGATGATGTTCCGAATCTCGTTGGTAAGTTTGATGATGTTTGTGGTGTTTACCGGCACTTGGGGCTCGGCTCTCAGGTCCGTATCGTTGACACCCTGGACCATCACTGGCTTGGAGAACAGCTCCGGGCACACAGGGCATTCGCTCTCGCACTTGCTATCTTCGGCACATACGTCCAAGCACTTGTCCCTGTTCTCCTGGCACTCCTCGTAGTCTCTGAGCGTGGGCTGATCGTAGTTCTGGAGCTGGGTCTGCACCACAATTGGCTTATTTACTTCATCCGGGGTGGGCGTGGCAGAAGCACCGAAAACCAGGAGCAGCAGGAGGCCACCCAAGACATGCAACTGCAGATAAGAAATGGCATAAATAGTCACGTATTTATTATTGTTTATATTGACAGTTTTCTGTTTCAAGGTTTCTGATTCAGCCGGATTAGATTTGAAACAAGTGATTCAGAGGTTTTATTTTAAAGAGGAAACTTTTTTAAAAAGACACCAACTTGTAGATTGCTGGCCTAACCACAATGGCATTTATTTTCGAGTTTTTTAATATTGAGGCCATCTGTCAATTATCAAATTTCATAACGAACTTTTGATAACAGAATCGCGAAATTTTCATCACCTTGGCATTTTTTGGTGGCACTATCGGTCACATTGTTGGCTTGCCTCTTAACAAAAAATTAATTAGCATTAAAAGCAAGCCAAATTTTGGGACTTTGGGCGATCCCGTCCGTTTATTACTCACCTTGGAATGCGCCATTATCGTATAGTTTTGGCGGATTTTGCGGTTGGCTCCGATTTTATGGTACGTCCGCAGGTGCGTGAAGTAAATTTTGAACTGCAATGAGTGGTGGATGAGTGGCACAGTCCCACAGAACCACAGCACCGCCCTTCGCCACCCACCCACACCTTCCGCCAACCTATTCCAGATAAGGCTAGATAACATTATCAAAGAATTGATTGCTGCCGAAGCTTTCACTCAATTACTATTTTATTCGCTCAAACCTTTGCGGATCCGAATGCAGCCCATGTCTTATCACAAATGCGAAAGTGATAATTGACAGTTTAATTATAGACGAAAGCCTTTCCTGGTACTTATTTTTTGCTAAAAATTATGGGTTTTTTTTAGTAGTTGAAAAATAGGGGATTCTTTCAAATACCATTTCAAGTGGTTTAATATCCGGTCGGAGAACGATACTTACACAAATATCTAGTTTGAGTTAAAAACAAAATCTTAAATACTTGGAATTCGTGGGAATGACGCACTATAATTTATCAGAAGAAGCACTTTAGACTCTGACGTCGAATAGTGGAAACTTTATTGAGTTAAAATATTTTTACAAAGAATTATTTTGACTTTTCTGGTGTTAGGCCCCATCCATCCTCGGTACGGCAGCCAATTTTGTCAGGATATTGGGCGCAGAACTGGGCCTGGTCGTAATAGACACAGTTGTGGCTGGGGCACTTGTAAGAGTAGCAGTAGGAGGAGCAGGTGGCAAAGTCCCCAGCAGCACAGCCGCTGCAATCGTGATAGTCTGCAGAGGAAACCAAATTAGAACTTCGAATATTAAGTACAAAAGATTCGTTCTTACTTTGAGGTTGTTGGCATGGAGCTCCGGGAAACTGACATCCCTGAGCCCCCCAGGTGGGAGGCATGGCCATTAGCTGAGCATTCGACATCTGCCAGGTGGTGACCACGGCCGGGACCAGAACCACTCGACTGGCACTGCAAAAGGATCCGCATTGCTGGTGGCTCCTGCTGTAGCACTTGTACCCGCCGCCGCTTGTATCATCTACCGGAGTGCTGCAGATCCTGGGCGTGACCACGTTGCAGCAGGGCCCTGCAGGAGGCTGCGGAGAAGGCGGTACTTCTACCACCACTTCCAGCTCCTCCTCGGAGGTCTGTCCTGGGATGGCGATAGATGCGTTGACCTTCAAGTTGTTTACGTTGTTGGTGACCAGTTTGGGGTGATCGTCGCCCTGCTGGTAGATGGTGCTGGTCAGGTGGATGGTTCCCAGCTCAGTGGGCTGTGGCTTGGAGCACCGGTTTTCCGTCCAGACATATCCTGCCGGGCATTGTGGCCGCACGCACTGACCGTCTTTGTAGACTCCATATCCTCCGCAGTAGATCAGGCGGCACTTGCCCCTGATGAGGATCGTTCCGTCCGGGCAACGGGTGATGGCCGGAGGAGCATAGGTAGGTGGTTCGGTTGGTGGCGTCGGTGGGGGGTAGGCGGGGGGCGTTGGCGAAGGGGTTTCCACCGGCGGAGGATTATTGGGCTGAGTGGGGTAGGGAGAAGTGGGTGGAGTGGGGTAGACGGGATTGGAGGGTGGAGTGGGGTAGACGGGATTGGAGGGTGGAGTGGGGTAGATGGGATTGGAGGGTGGAGTGGGGTACATGGGATTCGAGGGTGGAGTGGGGTAGACGGGAGTTGAGGGTGGAGTGGGGTAGACGGGATTGGAGGGTGGAGTGGGGTAGATGGGATTCGAGGGTGGAGTGGGATTAATCGGACAAGGAGTAGGAGGAGGAGAAGGATTGGGGTAGATGGGATTAGGGGTAGGATTCGTTGGATTTATGGGTGGTGCTACAGTTGGAGGGGTGGCATTTTGGCAGTTATTATTGCAGTTGTTATTTCCATTGCAATTGTTATTATTGTTGCAATTGTTGTTGCCACATGTATTAGGACAGTTAGAAGGACAATTATTAGGACAGGGCGAAGGATAAGAGGGCGGACAGTTGGAGGGACAATTAGAGAAGCAAGGAATAGCACCCGTACAAACCGTCTGGCAGTTGGTGATACACATTGGGTTGTAGGGTGGTACAAAGGGAGCTGGTTGAAGTGGCGGGGCTGCCGGGGAGACAATCGTTGGCTGCATAGGAGCATTCGGGCAAGGCGGTGGGGCTACCGGCGTAACCACTGTTGGCGGCAGAGGAGCATTCGGGCATGGCGGTGGGGTTACCGGCGCAACCACTATTGGGGGCAGAGGAGCATTAGGGCATGCGCCCGTAGTATTAATCGCAGGATTCGACGTGAAGCACTGCCCATTCGAATAGTATTGACCTGCGGGGTTGACCCCAATAACAAATGTTTCGAAAAAAAGAAAGTTTATGAAACTCACCCGGCGGGCAGGGACTTTGAATAGGATCGGCGATAACACTCGTCAGCTGGGCACAGATTACCGGGAACAGCAAAAGCGGCAACAACTGCCGGGGCGGCATCCAAGGCAGCACTTTTCGATTAGACATGCCGATCGAAACTGAGCCCGAGAGATCTGCGGAGCGTCCAGGAACAATCCATGCTGCGGCTGCGACGACCTTGGTGCTTATCGCGATCAGGTGCTGAAGGTTATCAGCAATTATGCTTTCCATTCAGAAGTATGAAGCTGGATCGCAGTGGCGAATAGTCTCTCCAGAGGTGCTGCCGGCCGAGCATCGCAAAGCGGAAACAATGCTGTTTCGATCATCAAAGTGGTCTCTCTTATCGTGGCTAATCATTCTAGCCATACACGGTGGTCAAGCTGAAATAGTGGTAAAGCCATCCATATCTTCCGTCTCTCAACCTTTGTCACTGGCCTTTGCAATTGTTTATTTATTTAGGTTCAGCTGTGTCCTACGGGCTATAAGTACATCGACGGCATGTGCTACTCGGAATCTTCATGTCCCTCGGGTAAGATCTCTAAAAATAGCAAAACCTTTTTCAAAAGAGCTTCTCTTATCAGTCAATAATTTATTTTAAAAACAAAACTCAGCGCTTATTAAATTTATAGCCACTACAACTTAGGTGAGTACTGAATGAAAAATATCAAGTATACGTAAAACGTAAAGAAAAGTGGGTCACGCGTGGAAGTAAGCAAGCCTGTTTAAAATAAAAAATAACGTATACGCAGGGTTGGCCATTGAAGACTGTAATGAAAAGGCGAAATATATTTTTATTTTTGTAGGCACTCTCTAATGAATTTTTTTTTATTTTTATCAATAAAATTCAATAAATTTGTTCATGTTTTTTTGTTTAATAGGCACCTATTTACACACCAATGGAAATTGTTATCCTCAATCTTCTCTTAAGTGCCTCGATGGTGAGTATTACAAATGGTTTTTTGTGAAAAGTTTTTACAAAATTTTATTTTATAGGTTATTTTTTAAATATTGATGGTCAGTGCTACAGGACGAATCCTCTTCCTTGCCCTTACCAGAACCCCACAACAACAACCACAACAGAGGCCACAACTACAACCACAACTGAGCCCACCACAACTACAACCACAACTGAACCCACCACAACTACAACCACAACTGAGCCCACCACAACTACAACCACAACACAGCCCACCACAACTACAACCACAACTAAGCCCACCACAACTACAACCACAACTGAGCCCACCACAACAACCACAACGGAACCAACCACCACAACCACTGAGCTTCCCATCTTGCCACCTGTTGATATAGTTCAATGCCCTCCGGGTTCAATATTATATGGAAGGGAGTGCCGGAAAATCGTTTGTTATGGGGGAGAATATTACCAGGGGCGATGCATTTCGCCCGTCTGTCCGGCAGGAACCGTCTGGCGCGGAGGACGCTGCCAGGAGCCAGGATATTTGACCACCATCCTAGAGATCGACAACGTTATTCACAATCAGCACGAGTACAATGTCGTCACCGAGAACATTAATCGGGTGGAGTATGTAACCCAACCACCTTTCCAGCCGGAGGAGGATAAAAGTTATGAAAACCCACCAGAAAATATTGTGGCATCCACAACCACAACGTCTAAGCCATGGGTGTATCCCACGTTTGTAACCACCACGGAGAAGTCGACCTCGGGAGAGGCTTTTCCCGGTAGAATTCCGCCGCCGGGATGTTGTTTGGTTATGAGTCCACGGGTCTGCATCGATTACACTCCCAACTGGGTCTGCTCCAGCCGCCCTCTGAAACTTTGTGACCCGAGAGTTTGCCAGACGCCTTGGGTATATCTGAAGCCGCCGAAAACAGTTCAGTCCACCAAGAATGGTCGAAAAATGGTCGTCATGCCGGCCAATCCGCCTCTGTTGGCATGCAGTACACCTGAGTGTAATGAAAGTGGTAAGTTTTAAATTATCTTATCTCTGTTTCTGTTTAAGTTTTTAATTATCTGTTTCTTGAGAGCAGTACCTTAAATAATTTGTAGATCTATTTTTCATAAATCTTCATTAAAACCTCAGATCAAAAAGTTTTTCAAATTTTTTGTTACCTTTTCTGAAGGACCCCTTCGAAAATGGGGCAAATGCCTCGAACGACAATATAGCCTCATACGAAACTATATCTTTGCCAATAGTCATCCGATTCTTAAGCGAAGTGCCTTAATCGATTGGTGGATCGATTTGCTACTAATCTGCATCAAAATCTAATAACAATTATTTTTTAGATTTTTTTCTCAAATTTTCTGGATTCAAAAATGGGGAAAATGCATGGAAAGCCAATATAGCCACTTGTGAATGCCATATCTTGGCCAATAGTCATCTGATTCTTAAGCGGAGTACCTTAATCGATTGGTGGATCGATTTGCTACTAATCTGCATCAAATTCTAAGAACAAATTATTTTTTAGATTTTTAGTCAAATGTTCTGAAGGGTCCCCTTCAAAAATGGGGAAAATGCATGCAAATGCATGCAAGCCCCTTGCGAATGCCATATCTTGGCCAATAGTCATCTGATTCTTAAGCGGAGTACCTTAATAGATTGGGGGGTCGATTTGCTACTAATCTGCATCAAAATCTAAGAACAAATTATTTTTGAGATTTTTTCTCAAATTTTCTGGAGGGTCCCCTTCAAAAATGGGGAAAATGCATGGAAAGCCAATATAGCCCCTTGCGAATGCCATATCTTGGCCAATAGTCATCTGATTCTTAAGCGGAGTACCTTAATGGATTGGTGGATCGATTTGCTACTAATCTGCATCAAAATCTAAGAACAAATTATTTTTGAGATTTTTTGTCAAATTTTGTGGAGGGTCCCCTTCAAAACTGGGGAAAATGCATGGAGGCCGTTGCAAAGGCCATATCTTTGCCAATAGTCATCCGATTCTTAAGCGAAGTACCTTAATCGATTGGTGGATCGATTTGCTACTAATCTGCATCAAAATCTAAGAACAAATTATTTTTGAGATTTTTTCTCAAATTTTCTGGAGCGTTCCCTTCAAAAATGGGGAAAATGCATGGAAAGCCAATATAGCCCCTTGCGAATGCCATATCTTGGCCAATAGTCATCTGATTCTTAAGCGGAGTACCTTAATGGATTGGTGGATCGATTTGCTACTAATCTGCATCAAAATCTAAGAACAAATTATTTTTGAGATTTTTGGTCAAATTTTCTGGAGGGTCCCCTTCAAAAATGGGGAAAATGCATGGAAAGCCAATATAGCCCCTTGCGAATGCCATATCTTGGCCAATAGTCATCTGATTCTTAAGCGGAGTACCTTAATGGATTGGTGGATCGATTTGCTACTAATCTGCATCAAAATCTAAGAACAAATTATTTTTTAGATTTTTGGTCAAATTTTCTGGAGGGTCCCCTTCAAAAATGGGGAAAATGCATGGAAAGCCAATATAGCCCCATGCGAGGGCCATATCTTTGCCAATACTCATCCGATTCTTAAGCGGAGTACCTTAATCGATTGGTGGATCGATTTGCTACTAATCTGCATCAAAATCTAAGAACAAATTATTTTTTAGATTTTTGGTCAAATTTTCTGGAGGGTCCCCTTCAAAAATGGGGAAAATGCATGGAAAGCCAATATAGCCCCTTGCGAATGCCATATCTTGGCCAATAGTCATCTGATTCTTAAGCGGAGTACCTTAATGGATTGGTGGATCGATTTGCTACTAATCTGCATCAAAATCTAAGAACAAATTATTTTTGAGATTTTTTGTCAAATTTTGTGGAGGGTCCCCTTCAAAACTGGGGAAAATGCATGGAGGCCGTTGCAAAGGCCATATCTTTGCCAATAGTCATCCGATTCTTAAGCGAAGTACCTTAATCGATTGGTGGATCGATTTGCTACTAATCTGCATCAAAATCTAAGAACAAATTATTTTTGAGATTTTTTCTCAAATTTTCTGGAGCGTTCCCTTCAAAAATGGGGAAAATGCATGGAAAGCCAATATAGCCCCTTGCGAATGCCATATCTTGGCCAATAGTCATCTGATTCTTAAGCGGAGTACCTTAATGGATTGGTGGATCGATTTGCTACTAATCTGCATCAAAATCTAAGAACAAATTATTTTTGAGATTTTTGGTCAAATTTTCTGGAGGGTCCCCTTCAAAAATGGGGAAAATGCATGGAAAGCCAATATAGCCCCTTGCGAATGCCATATCTTGGCCAATAGTCATCTGATTCTTAAGCGGAGTACCTTAATGGATTGGTGGATCGATTTGCTACTAATCTGCATCAAAATCTAAGAACAAATTATTTTTTAGATTTTTGGTCAAATTTTCTGGAGGGTCCCCTTCAAAAATGGGGAAAATGCATGGAAAGCCAATATAGCCCCATGCGAGGGCCATATCTTTGCCAATACTCATCCGATTCTTAAGCGGAGTACCTTAATCGATTGGTGGATCGATTTGCTACTAATCTGCATCAAAATCTAAGAACAAATTATTTTTTAGATTTTTGGTCAAATTTTCTAGAGGGTCCCCTTCAAAAATGGGGAAAATGCATGGAAAGCCAATATAGCCCCTTGCGAATGCCATATCTTGGCCAATAGTCATCTGATTCTTAAGCGGAGTACCTTAATGGATTGGTGGATCGATTTGCTACTAATCTGCATCAAAATCTAAGAACAAATTATTTTTGAGATTTTTTTTCAAATTTTCTGGAGGGTCCCCTTCAAAAATGGGGAAATGCATGGAAAGCCAATATCGCCCATGCGAATGCCATATCTTTGCCAATAGTCATCCGATTCTTAAGCGAAGTACCTTAATCGATTGGTGGATCGATTTGCTACTAATCTGCATCAAAATCTAAGAACAAATTATTTTTGAGATTTTTTGTCAAATTTTCTGGAGGGTCCCCTTCAAAAATGGGGAAAATGCATGGAAAGCCAATATAGCCCCTTGCGAATGCCATATCTTGGCCAATAGTCATCTGATTCTTAAGCGGAGTACCTTAATGGATTGGTGGATCGATTTGCTACTAATCTGCATCAAAATCTAAGAACAAATTATTTTTTAGATTTTTTTTCAAATTTTCTGGAGGGTCCCCTTCAAAAATGGGGAAAATGCATGGAAAGCCAATATAGCCCCTTGCGAATGCCATATCTTGGCCAATAGTCATCTGATTCTTAAGCGGAGTACCTTAATGGATTGGTGGATCGATTTGCTACTAATCTGCATCAAAATCTAAGAACAAATTATTTTTTAGATTTTTTTTCAAATTTTCTGGAGGGTCCCCTTCAAAAATGGGGAAATGCATGGAAAGCCAATATCGCCCATGCGAATGCCATATCTTTGCCAATAGTCATCCGATTCTTAAGCGAAGTACCTTAATCGATTGGTGGATCGATTTGCTACTAATCTGCATCAAAATCTAAGAACAAATTATTTTTGAAATTTTTTGTCTAATTTTATGGAGGGTCCCCTTCAAAAATGGGGAAAATGCATGGAAGGCCAATATAGCCCCTTGCGAATGCCATATCTTTGCCAATAGTCATCCGATTATTAAGTGGAATATCATCAAAAATTTTTTAATAGATTTTGCATCAAAATGCATCTAAATTTTTGTATAGAGATTTCGTTTAATTGTTTATGGGTCGTATACGTGATACGAATACGTAATTTAGATGTAAGAATACGCATTACTACGAGAAATGTATGAAATGTGAGAAGAAAAAACAATAATACAAACGTTTGTAATTAATAACAGCATTATTAATAAGCAAACGAATAAATTTGCATATTGATTTTTTTTTTTCGTTTAAATGAAAACAAAAACAAGTTAAATTTTACTGTGCATTTTTTACTCACTCACAGATGTTTTGGACTGCTCTGGTTGTAATGATAATTTACGCGAAAAGTGTTCACGAGGATGCTACAATTACTACTGTCCTAATGGCACTTGTGGATTTATGAATTCCGAAACCTACTGCAGCTACTATCCAGGTGGCTTTGGCTGCAATGAAGATGATGGATGCATCTGGGATTGGTGCAAAGAGAAGTGCTACTAAATTTAATAATTTTTTGAATAATAGCTAAATAAATAAAAAAATAAACCAAAATTTTTTATTTTCAAGCTTTATTTCAAATATGACGCGTAGTATTCGATTAATTTACTCTTGATGGCTATCGAATGTGTATTCTCGATAACCGATTGTTGCCAGAGAAAGAGAGAGAGAGACGCTTTTCGGTATTTTTGTGCTTTACAAAATGGCCTCTCTAAAACCGGAAATTCTATATAAGCAACCCGCAACGGTCGCTCTCAGAAATTTTTGAAAAATCAGCTCGACGCGGCTGACTTCGGACTGGAAGCGGTGAAAAGCGGTTGCCGGGCGCGTTTCTGTTTGTTCGTTCGTTCGTGTGTTTTCTAGCGCCTCAAGTGCCACCAAAAAAAACAAAAAAAAAAAAGTTTGTTTGAAAAAAGAATAGCAACGGCGGCGACTGTGTTTGTGCCTTTTCCGACTTGTGTGGGTGTGTGCGTGCCTCTGTGTGTGTTTGCAAACACAAAAGCAAAGGCAATAAAATTAAAAAACAAAAGTTTTGGCTTTGGAGCAGTAGTAGTCCCAGCGACAGTGGCGCTCAGTGCATTTCGGTGCCCCGCCCCCGTCCCGGCCCCGGCCTCGGCCCCCAACTAATTGTTGTTGCGAGAGGTACGGTAAGAGTGTGCTACCCAGTGTGTGTGTGTGTGAGTGTGATTTGTTGCTTGTTTGTTGTGACAAAATAGAAAATAGAAAAAAAAGAAAAAAAATGCTAGGCAAGAGTAATCATATTTAATAAACAAAATTGCTCTGTTGTATAAGCATTTGTTTATCCCGCCACGAATTGTGCAAAAACACATAAATTGTACAATTTCCCTGACAGGGATGTGTTCTCTCTCTCTCACTCACTTGAACTTAATTAAAAAAAGAAATAAAATCAACAAACTTCCTGTTTTTTTTTGTTTTTTTTTATATGCCCCATCAGTCTCTCTCTGTCGCTCTCAGTCATCCCCCCCCCACTTTTCATAACTGTTGCCGCAGACAACAAGAGTATTATTGTGGCAGTACCTCTTCCACTTGCCACTTGCCCCTTGCCTGAACCGAGAACGCCGCCCAACTCCCCCACGAACTCTCTGAAAAGGGGGAGAAACTCATATAAAGGTATGTGTTAGTGTGTGTGTGTGTGTTGGCAAGAAAGTTTTGTATTTGCTTTTGTGATTTCTGCTGCTGTTTGATATTTGCCAGAAGTGCGGGCGTTGAAGTTTTTAGTGCAACATTTCTCTGCTCTGCTCTGCTCTGCTCCAGCGGGAGCTTTTATAATGTGTGTGTGCGCTATTATTAAAACCCCCCTCGCCAGAACACCTCCCTGCCCGGCATACAGCAAAAAAAACTATGGTAGTGTGTGTGTTTGCGAGGCGTTGGCGTTTTGACCAAAAGCTGAAGAAGAGGAAGCAGGCAGTTCTAAAGGGGCAAGAAACTGATAGAGAGAGTCAGAGAGAGTGAGGGAGAGAGTGGGTGGGTGGGTGTGTAGGCAATAAAGGGGCAAGAGAGGATCAGGCTGTCTTTGGTAATAAATCACACAAGTCTTTAATGAATAAACATTATGGAAATTAACACAAAGTGGAGTTTTTAACCAAATCCTTATAGATACTTTCTATAGTTCACTATTTAGAGGGCTTACTGTGGCAGGGGGTAGGGCAGTTAATAAATAAATCAAAACATAATACATAAACATTATGGAAATCAACACACACACATACACTCAGCACCCAAGGAATGTCTGTTGAATGGGAATTTCGAGTGTTTACCTTTCGCCCACTGCCACAGCGCTCTCCCTCCCCCCTTTCACTCGTTTGTGGGGAAGACATAAATGCTGCCGCACATTTTCCATATGTGCCCCCGCAGTCCTGGGCCCCTCCTTCTTCTTGCTGTTTGCAATAAAGCGTTTTACGATCTCCGCTGGCTGACGCACTTGTTGTTTTTATGACAGTTAAGCTATTTTGCGTATGACACGTTTGACAGATGTCAGCGCCCAATGTGGCTGTCAACGGTGCCGTTAAACGCAGGCCATCCTCCTTTTTGGCCAACCAGCTTCTATAGGGTGAACCGATTCCTACCAATGCTTGAATAATTATTCAACCCATTATTTGGGCCAAATTATTATTAATAAACCTAGACACTTTTGGCCGTGTATTTCATTTTCAGCATTCGTGCCACACTATGTGGCAGGGGGGGCAGCTGTCTTTTCGCAGCTACTTTTACGCATGTTTTCGCGCAGAGGCCCGAAAAGAAGTCGGCTTGACATAAATTGTTGCAGCCAAATGTGGCAAACAACTAACTGGGCCACGCCTACAAGCCCATAAGCTACAAACATCAAATATCAACAGCGGCAACAGCTAAAACAACAACAAACCCTGCCGCTTGTCGCATGTAATTGCTTGCCACAAAGTAAATGACAATAGCGTAAGGCAAAAGACGCCGTCATCGAGTACAGTGTGGCAAATAGTTTAACCTTATCTATAGAGATTTTATTAAAGATATAGTATCTACAAAAAATATATAATATATCTTAAAAATTTACAAAAAGTATCTATTATTTTATTATTTTAATTTTAAATCTAAACCTTTGCTTTTCATTCCACTGTTTCGGCAAACAAGTTAGGGTCTGGGGTCTGTGTAACTAAAAACCGCAAAAGCTTGTCACTCCCCACCGCCCCTCCTTGGCCTGCCCCTGCCACGCCTTCCTTTGGCCCCTTTGCCGCCTCGGCTGTCGAAGTTGTTGCTTCCGCTCTCGCGGTTACGCCGCTCTCACCGCTTCTGTATCTGTGTTTGTATCTGTGCTTGTATCTGTGTGTAAGAGTATCTCTTGACAGTTGTATCTATTTCCCCGCACCATAGCCCTGTTGTACGTGGGCGGCAACAGCATTAGAAAAAATAAACCTCAGGCTTCAAGTTCCAATTCAAGTTTTAAAATATTTGCCGGATGACGTCGACTCTGCGCTATTGCTGTCATCGAAGTCAATAACATTTATTTGACGCACTCGATTGTTGCATGTGTCTCGGCCCGAGTCTCCACTGGCCACTCGGTACTCTGCTGCCCCCACAAAGTAAACAAAACCCAAGAGGCCATCATTGAAAATTGATAAGGCTAACAAACACGCAAACATTTAAGCATTTTCTTCCATTTTGGGATTGCCGATCGGATATCGTTTGTGGCGAGCACTCATTTGTTTATTCTCTTTCCATTATTACTTGTATTTATTTGACTTTTTTTGGCCAGAGTTTTTGGCCATTTAATATTCATTTATTCAGCCATGTTTATTTATTTATTTGCGTGTCTCTCGGTCGCACTGCCTGTTTGTGTGTGTTTGTGGCTAAAAGACCCAAGACGATAAAAAAAAAGCGACTGAAAACGTGAAATCGCATGCTAGAAGCCATGGCCATGATTTTGAATTTAAGCCACACAGGGCAATGGCAGTAGCAAAAAATGAAAAAAAAAATATAAAATATAAACATTCAACAAAATTGAAAAACAAATAAAATATATAATCGTAAAAATCGTTAAAAGCACTTGGCATCCATTTGATACCCTTGTGGAGGAGGGTCATCGATTGTTTTGATTGGTTATATTTGACTTTTGAGTTTCCTGATCATATTATATTTTAATTTTATAAAAAGAGGCTTAATAAAATTAATTTTTTCTTGATTAAAAGTTGAGATAAACCAGAGCCCTGTCCACAAAAGCACTTTCTAAACTCTACTTTCTCAAGAGATCCCTTATCTTTTCCCAACAATTTAAAGCCTGCGTTTAAAATATTAATTGGTTTTTGGCTAAATTTTAACAATAAATTAAGTTCAAACCCCTCATTAAATAAAGTACAATAAAATATGTTTACAAGTTTCTTGGCCTTTGGTAAGTTTTATTTAGAAATTGGTTTAATAACCAGGTTCAAGCCAACAAAACTTGCCCAATGAAACTCATATTTTATCCCATAAGCCATAAATCTCCCAGGCCCAGGGTTTTTGTTTTCCTAGACCAACTTGGACCCGGGAGCGTAAATCATTTAGTTTGTTTGCCGTCTGGCTGGATGGCTAGCTGAGCCAAGATGGAATTAATTGAGATCTTGCAGACAAGTATAATGAAAATACATCCCTATATACACTACCCAAACATATACATAGTCTTGGATATATGGAAAGTGTGCGCTATCTGAATCGACAAAGCAATTTAAATATTTTAAATTACGATTTTCGGCATGTACTTTTATGGAAATTTCATTCGACGACGAATCCCTTGGACAAAATAACAAAGCCAGTGGGGAAAAATAACATGGCTAGAACCGCTCCCACTCCAGAAAATGGTCTATTCTTTCCCGCTTTTCCCACCACAAGAGGCCAAAAGTTTTTCGTAGCTCATAAATTCTTTTGTTCGAGTCGTTTTTCTTTGATTTTCTGTTTGGCGGGGGGTGCGGAAAACCTCGAAGGAAAACCAAAAAAACCGGGTAAGGAAAAAGTGAAAATTCAGTGGGAAAATTGTCGCTGTCTGCGGCCCAGTACGATTACAGCAGCAGCCTCAAAACTAATTAGTTGCGCTGCATTCAAGCCGAGTTTTACTTTTTTACTTTTCCTGCCACTGCCACTGCCCCAGACTAAGATTGAGTAAGAGTGAGACTCTGCATCTCCCCGTTGATTGTGCAACTCGTGGAACGCGAATAAGATAGTCGGCAAGACAAATTCAGTTAACTGTTACACCCAGCCTGACTGACTGACTGGCTGACTTAATTCCCTACATTTTTACGATTGCACGAGAGCTCGGTGGCACAGTGGTTGGAAGCACCTACATACAGTACCTGAGAAACTCATCTACTTAGCCAGCCTCCTGCCTCTCCCCCACCTCCTCCTGGTTACTGTGATTGAGTAATGATTCGATAAGGTGCTCTGCTTATAATCATGTTGATGTTGCCGCCTGATTAAGTGCTCCGAGCAGCGTAGATTGTTTGCGCAGTTACGCCAGACCTCGACTATTTATAAACGCCGATTAGGCATCGTATTACACCTGATCATTAGTTGGAGTCTGGAAAATTTATTATCGGCTTAGTCAGCGAAAGGCGCCATCCCTCCATATAGATTTCAATCAGGGCAGGATTAAAGGGCATCACTCAGGCATCGCATTCCGATTGCGAGTAATCTCGCGAACTGGTTTAGTTCGGTCTCATCTTTGTTTGATAACAATGATCATATTATAGCTCAATAATCACCAGATTTGACATTCAGTTTGCTGAACTTTTATATAAAGTTTGGCGCTTTAACGACAATTAGCTCCCCATATGCGGCATCTATTAAACCATCATCGATGATCTCGAATTCTTTGTCCCAAACACCCCATAAACATTTCAGTCGGAGCTGTCTATAAACCATCTGTTGATCCGCTCACCCTAAATCAGTCGTCGCTGGTGCTTCCCCAACGGCCTTGGACCACTGTGCAGTCGGGTTTTGGCTTTAACTTGGCTGATGCTGATGCTGGGGCTTCTGTAATCGCTGCCATAGCAATGGCATCTAGTCAGCCCGAGGCATGGTCTTACCGGGATTACGCGCTGGTGCAATGTCTCTGTGCCGGAGGAGCAAAGGCGTCTGTAATAAAAAGTATCTTAGAGATACTCCCCTTCCTCCCA